AAAAATCCAATACCCTGAAACCAAATGTATAAAAATGTATTTTTCCCTCTGAATTCTAATAAGTAGGCAGGAACTAACCATGCCAGTTGAGCAAATAGCCATATTGCTACAAGTTTTCCACCCTCCATGAGTGACAAATTAAAATTTGGGTAATTTGGAATTAAAAGTGACAGGTACCAAATAAAGTATTGAGAAGTCAAAACTGGATTAAATGTCACAACGACAAATGTCTGTGCGAAAAGACAAAAAAGTAGAGTGGATTTTTTACCATAAAATATTGACAAGACCAACAATAATATCAATTGTGGTAAAAATAAAAGAATTCCAGGTTGATGAGGTTCCAAATAAAGCAAGTAAAAAAAAACAGAGAAATTATGTTTTGTATCTTTTCTTATCAAATGATAAAGAATGCTTTCTTTTAAATATTCATAGCCATAAAGGTAATAACAAAAGTAAGTTAGGAAACAAAATGTTATTATGCTAACCAAAACAAAAATTATTTGCTCTTTATTAGGATACAATTTTTTTATAAAATCTAATAATCGTAAAGGAATAGATTTAAAATTGTTTTCAGGTTTAAGAGCAAGGTACATTGGAAGTGAAAATATAATTGGATATAGTCTAATATGTACTGAAAGAGCTAAAAAAAAACCAGAAATTCCAGGTTTTTGCTTCAACAAAAAGTAAGCACTTAAAAGAACTGTTAAACTGATAATTGAATCCGAATTTCCTCTCGTAGATATAATAATCGCTAATGGATTAAAAATCCATGCTTGAACACATCTCACACTGGCACTATCAGAAAATTTTTGAGCTTTAGCAAAACACAAATATAAAATACTTATTAAAACATCAATGGCAGAGAACAAAATTTTTCCCCAAATGTGAAAAACTACATTAGGCACTAATAACCATGCTAATATTGGAGGATACCTATAGGTATGCCTTTCATATGGAGATTTACCCTCTGAAACATGCCTAGCAGCATCAGTAAAAACCTTATAATCAACATCTGTAAAAGGCACTGATAAATACTTATCATGCCACTCACCATATAATATAATTAATAATCTAATTCCAAGTCCTATTAACAAGCATTTAATTTTCCAACTCATGTTGAAAATTATAATTTAGTTTTTAATTTTGAAGCAGCACTCATTAAACAATTTTTAAATTTTTCAAATTCTTTACCACAAGAATTTAACTTAATATTTTCTTGTTTTAAAATGCACTCTGCATACACTTTTCCTTCAAATTTACATTTATTAATCAAATCTGGATAATAAGCCAGTCTGTTTTTATGTTTTTTTAAAGCTTCCATTTTTTTAAATATAAAAACTAATTAATCTTTAAATTCTTCATCAAGTTCCCTCTTGATTTGCCTTTTAAATTTCACATAATTATAACAATCGTTGAAAAATTCATAAAGTGGTTTTCCGAAAACTATTCCCAGGGAAATTGCAAGAATGGTGCAATTTACTAATTTAGGATGTCTATAATTAAAACCTTCATTTTTTAATATTGGCTTCTTTTTCACTGGGTTTGTCATCTTTTATTTCTTTACTTATATCAATCCCAGAACAAACTAATGATTCAGCTTTCCAAATTCTGCAGCATTTAATAAGTTCATCAATTACTTTTTGACAAGCTGTATCTTGAAAACCATTAGCTAAAATAATTAAAAATACCCAATAAATAAAAGCCCTATTGTATAATAATAAATTTTTATTTTTATTTATATATCGGAGTTAAAAAAAACTCCATGTAAATAAGGTTCTACTATTATTATTGGGTTATTAAATTTTTAACGAAAATTCAATATGAATTTAATTATAAAATTCTAAGAAAATTTATCGAAAAATATTTTGATTAAAAATTAGAATTGTAAATTTAAAAATGTGTATTTTAATTTTTTTTAATGAAATTTTTTTTTTTCAGAAATACGCCAAAATTTTCTCTATATGTTCCGATTTTGAATATAAAAGAACAATTTATTAAAAAATAAATTTTCTAACCTTTTAAACAAGTTTGAAGTTCACAGGCATTACGTTTACATGGATCCTTCTTCATTAAAAAAAATTAAAAATTTTGAGACTACTTATGTTACGAAAAAAAAAAAAAAAAAAATTTTTAACGGAAATAGAAGTCTGCTTCATTTTACCTTTCATAACTTTGTTAAAATTGTTTATCGATATATATTTTATTTGTTATGTAATCAAAATGACTAATAATTTTATTTCATTTTCTAAAAAATTTACTTATAATGTTTGTTTAAATAATAAATATTTTATTAGACAATTATATACGCAGGGTCAATCTCCGAAACCTAACGTTCGAGAATATTTTTATTACATCGACCATCAAGGTATGGTATGTATATTACATAAGGACATGAAAAACTTTAACATTTCCTACAAAAGTGTCAAAAAACAAAAATTTGAGACAGCAAAAAAATTCTAAATTAGTTTTTAAAATAAATATGAAATTTAACAATTTTTATTAATTAATACCATAAATTTTTATTTGTAATTTATTTTGTTTTTTTTTTTTTTCAGCTGTTTTTAGATGATGCAAAAATAAAAAATTTCACATCATGTTTTAAAGAAAAAAAATTTTTGGTATTTTTTTTTAAAAGACTTCGCTTTAATGAAAGTGGTAGATATGAAAAAGAATTTCCATACTTATCGCCATGTGGTAGAGAAACAAATTATGTCAGATGTGATGATGTTCCACTTGTTTTTACCCACATAATACCTGATCCGAATGATTCGAAACAGTACAGGTTCTGTTATGCTCATACAGGCGATGAGCTTTTTCTTAAATTCGAACCGGAAAAAATGATTATGTTACCTCAAACTGGAAGGGTTTATCATCCGGCTCCCAAACAAGTAGGTGGTATAGGCTTAGTTAAATCATCATTAGCAATTGAATTAAGCAAAAATTTTACTTTCGGTGATTCTGAAGAAAAACCTCCGACACATTTTATGTGGGATGGCACTAATTACAAACTTATTAAATGGTATGATTCATTATTAGAAAACAATACCATAAGTAAAATTATTTAATGTCGATTATACTTAATCTTAATAAAGAAAAAGAAAGTATAATTTTTCACAAAAAAAATTGTTTTGTTGTTATTAATTGTTAAGAAAAAAAATTGTTAAATTTTATATTTTGTTTTTTTTATCGGCTTGTTGGCAAATGAAATTTTTTATTTTATACTTTTAAAATAATTAAACTAAGAAAAAAAAAAAACAATTTTTTGTTGTCAATTACTTTCTTTTACTTTCTTTGTTAATTACTTTAATTCATTTTTTGTATAAAAAGAAACATAAAAAGTTAAACATGGATATTATGTGGATATTTTAGTTAATATGTGGATAAGTAGAAAAACAAAATTTTATAAAATAATTTATTATTAAAAACGTAATTTTTACAGCCAGTCGTATTCGTAATAATAAAAAAACAAACAAAAAAAAAAGTTTTACTTAAACTCACTCAAAATTGATTACATATTTTTTAAAGAAAAAAATTAACGGTTTTCAAAATGGCGGATTTTTTTTTGGCAGTATTAAAGCTATTATTTGTTCGAAAACATACTTCTAATAAACTTTTTTTTTTTTTAAATTTTTTTTCGTGTTGAATCGCAGGTTTTAAAATAAAAAACTTTTTTTAATACGATAAAACTATTAATAATAATAATAATAATAATAATTTAAATGAGTAAAAAAATTACAAACGATTTCTCGATGGTACTTCAGACTTCCAGGTAACTGAGCTTCTACCAACGTTTCTCAGTCTCATATCATTTGAATTTTCAATTTCGTCTTCTGATATTAAATCATGTGACGTATCAAAAGCTCGATTTATTTGTCCACCCTAAAAAATGTTGCCAAAGCTATTAATGGTAAACTCTTCATCTTTTTTAAATAAAGGTAAAGGTACTCACGGGTACGTCAGAAAAAACGTCACGAACGTTAATTCCAGCATTCGAACTTCTATGACTTCTACCATTGACTGATGGCGTGACTCCATATATGCTACCACCTCCGTAAATATCTCCATTTGCTCCTAATGTTTGCATTTTAGATTTTCTTCTTTCTGCCATTACAGTATTTCTTCTAACTTCCAACGCTTTTATTGTTTCCTTTTTCAAATGATTCATGCTCCTTCCCAAAATTGGCGTTCCTGTCAATCAAAAAAAATTAATTTCATTATTCGTTAAAGAAAGTATAATTATTACACCCTTTAAAATGAACATTATTTATTTATTACCGTTGAAAAGTTTTCCATTTTCTTCTTTCATTTTGAAAAATCTTTCCTTGAACGCAACATCTAAAGTACCGATCGTTCTTTTTCTCTTCATGTTATTTTCCAAATTGTGTATTGTTTTTCGTCTGCCGACATTTCCTGAACTCGAACCTGAATCGTTGTCGTATTCTCCATCCAAACCTCGAATTCTTTGTAGATTTTTAACGATATCGACCCCGTGTTTCGAAAGCAAAGTTTCCGAAGAATCTTCGATCTATAAAATCATTATAATTTAACGGTTTTGTTGTTTTCATTCAAAACTTTCATTCATAAAAAAAGGAAATACCTTTTTACTACAGCAGTTCAAAGTCGTAGAAGCCAAAATATGTGACAATGTACCAAATCGATGAAACAACATGGCGGTAAATTGTATTACGAGAATTAAAGCGAAGAAAAAGACGAAAACCAAACCGATGGGTTCCAATTGCAAATATTCTTTCGATATAAGAATCTAAATAAAACCCAAAAAAAAAAAAATTTTTTTAAACGATAATAATAATAATAATTCGTGTAGTCGATAAAAATTCTTTTTTTAAAATCACTAACAAAATTTTTGTTTTTTTCTAAAAGAGAGAGTGTGTTTGTTTTAAGTGTACTTTAAACATTTTTAATGTTTTATGTTTTCATAATTAAACTAACTTTTATGTATCTATTAACTGAAAACATTAATAAACTAAATTTTATTTATTTATGTAAATGTGTTATTTTTATTTGTATTTTTAAATATTGTTTATGTTTTTAAACTACTGCTAAATGTTTCCTATTAAACTTTTACATTAAACGTTATGAAATATTCACAGAACGTTAACAAAAAATAATAATAATAATAAAAGAATTAAGTATTTAATACAAACAAAATTTTGTGTTGTGAGTGTTTGTGTGTGCTTGTGTATAGAAAATAAAATTTCGAGTGATAGTAGTAGATATTATAGTATAACAGCATGCAATTCTTTCCTTTTTATGTTTTTATGTTTTGTTAGAATTATTTTTTCACATTTTTAACATTTTAAAGCAAAAACAAAAAATGGTCAATTTAATTTTTTGTTATATATGTTTTTTGTGCACGAACGTGTTAAAGAATTATAATTGTGTGTGAATAAGAAAAAAAATATAACAAAAAATAATTTGTGACCATTTAAAAAAAAAAAAAAAAATTCACATCAAAAGCGATGATGCATTTAATTATATTAAAATGATAGATTACGATTTGAATTTTTATATAAAAAATGCCAAATCTAAAATCTACCATTTTTTTTTTTTTTAAATGATTTTAATGAAATGAAATGAAAATTGCCAATCACTTTTGACTGAGTTTTTGTTGTTGTTGTTGTTGTTGTTGTTAGACGCAGATTCCATAACAAACAAACAAACAAAAGACACCGAAAAATTCATTCTATAAAAAGGTATTTTGCATTTTGTTATTATTGATCACCTTTATAGACCTTAACCAAAACAAACAAATTTAAAAAAAATTTTTTTTTTTTCTTTATGTGCAACATGCACCACCTCAATCATAATTTTCATATGAAATAAATTTGTCTGTTAAATTTATTTTTTTTATTTAAATAAAATCAAGCTTTAAACTTTGATTCGACCTGCTGAAGTTTAGTAAATAAATAAATAAATAAAAAACGCCACCAAAGAAATAGCCATGGCGAAGATAGAGAAAAGTAAAAAATTTTTTTTTTTTTAAATTTAATTTTCATTTTTTCATCATTATTTTTCTTTCTATTTTTTTTTTTTTTTTTAGTAAATTTTATTTTGTACATATATAGCCAGACGTATAGCCAGAAGAAGAAGAGAAAGAGGATAGGCATTCTTTTTTTTTTTTTTTTTTTTTATTATTTTCTACCTCTCCGGTCTCTTCAACTTGTGTGATGTTCGTCTTGACACCAAGTGGCCAATCAACGTGTAAATTGTCTTTATTCAGTTGTAACAAGAAGACGATCAATATGAACAATGCATTGAACATGAAGAATGCAAATACCGATTTATTTCTCAGTTCAACTAGATCTTTGGCAATACGAGCCTGGAACGATGTAACACCAAAAAAAAAAAAAAAAGCGAATTAATGATATGTGAAATGGTGATTTTTTCGAATGATTTACCTCTTGGGTAGAACTATCGTACGTGATGTTTGTCTTGACTCCAAATGGCCAATTTACATGAAGGTTGTCTTTGTTGAGTTGAAGTAAAAATACGATTAAGACGAATAAAGCATTGATCATAAAGAATCCCATAACGGATCTATCTCGTAGGTCTTTTAATTCGCGGGAGATTTTTGCCTGTCGTCGCATTTAAACGACAAAAATTTACAAAAAAAAAAAAAAAAAGAAAAAAAAGAAAAAAAAATTGAAAAAATTAATTTTGGAAAACCTATGTAAAAAAAAATTATTATTATCATTATTAATAAAAAAAAAGTCAGTAAATGTTTTGTACCTTAATAAAAAAAAAAGGAATTCGTTTGTATTTTTTAGGTAAAATTTACTGACTTTTTTTTTTTTTGTTAAACCTGAAATAAAAAAATGTTAAACCTTCACGTATTTCCTTTCTGTGGCCATCGATGCAAACCTATTTTTTTTTAAGAAAAAAACTTTTTAATAAAAATCAGGTACTCAATTATTTAAAAAAAAAAAAAATTAATTGGTTAAACTATCTCTGATTAAAAACAAATTTGAAATGTTGCAAATTTCTTTTTACTACTATTTTTCCCCCTCCCTCCTTCCCTTTTCTTCCTATTTTTCCCTCCTCTCATTAAAAAAAAAAAAAGGTAGAAACGCCCCCCACTTTTAAAATTTCACCGTTTTTTTTTCAGTAATTAAAAATTTCATATTGAGTACCTGAATGTGACAAAAGAAAACAACTTGTTTTACCTTTTCATCTTTATCTTCATCAATCGGATACAAATACTTTTCCAAAAGTTCCTGCCAAAATTTGATTTCTGCTTGTGGTAAAAAGTCGACTTCGCCTTTTTTTAAAGCTTTGTCTTCTATCCAATATGGATTCATTAAATCGTCGCGGTCGTTTTTCGGTTCTATTAAAAATTATCAAGGTTTAATAAAAAAAAAAAAGATGTAAACTTGTAATATTGTTATAAAGTTTAAGTACCTGTGGATACAGTTTCGCTATCGTCTTCACCTTCTTGATCTTCTTCTGGTGCTTCATGATGAGAATGAAGATGATCTCTACTACTTGTGGAAGTCGTTCTTCGTCGTCCTGAAGCAGCAGCATGTGGATCAACATGTCTGAAAAATAATTATGAGGGATTAATTAAAAATTACGTTTTCTTGTTCTTCCAAACAAATTGTTTAATTGTTTTTTTTTATACCTTTCGATATTTTCCATCCTTTTCTGAACTTCTTCCAATGATTCAGCGATTCTTAAAAGTTGTTCTTTTTCATCGATGGTTTTTGGATGTGTGCAAAACATGCACCTGAACAATCCAGCAAAGGATATGTCTAACGAACCTTCTTCATTATTATCACCGGTACCGATTCCTTGTAAAAATCCCAAAAGTGAATTTTGTCTAGCTTTTCTTTTAGCTTCTTCCGCGGCTTTTCGTTCCTCTTCCAGTTCCTAAAATTAATAGTACAAATAGTAAGTATTTAATTTTTTTTTTTTTTTTTTTTCAAAAATTAAAATTATTATTAATCACCTTTTTCGTTTTTTTAGTTTGCACTTCTCTCGTACCCCACGTGACGACGTTCAAATTCACAATGGAGTAAAGAATAAGCAACAAGTACATAGACGGAATGGCTAAAAGATACAACAAACCAGGAACAATACACCAAAATTCTTGCGGATGTAAACACGCTGCTATGAAAAACGATCCCGACAGCGCTATCAAAAATATTGCAGAAGGAGAACCGATACCGTCCTCGCCCAATTGAAGTGCCGTACCGACTATGACAGCCATCATAACTAACGCGTATCCCGTTGACAGTATTTGCGCGACTATAAGTTGTATGGGTCCTTTACACAAGAAACAAACGACCATAAAAAGAAGTATAGGAATAATGTTATAATAGAAAGAAGTCCAATTGTCGATTTTGAAAGCTGCTACGAAAGCTCCCACCAACATAAGAAATATGGTACCGGGTCCTAAAATGGTACCACCCATCAACATCATTTGATAAAATATATAAGGTAAGGAAATGTTGTCGTTTATTTTAATTGTTCTTTTATAATCCATAAGCAAATCCATAATGTTAGCCATAGTTGAGGGTACCCATCGACGACGTTGCGTGTAAAATTCATTGAAACTTTCTGGACAGTGAGTGTAAGCGTCACTTGCAGCCGAATATTCAACACGATATCCTCTTTGTAAGAGTAAAGTACAAAGCCACCGATCTTCTCCTGTTGAAACAAAACCTTTAACGTGACGCATTCATTTAAAAAATTATTATTATTATTTTTTTTAATTTATCTCTTTACCCTGATCGTATTGCACGTAATGTCTGGCCTCTTCTGATTTCGTTGTGTATTTTCTCATTACATTATCATCCATTAAAGCTTTACCACGGAAAAGAGAGAAACAACCAGGACTACAAAGTACACATCCGATCATATGTTCTGTAGCTTTTTGAAGCCAATGCCCAATAGCATATTCAAACATTTGATACCATACCATAGGCCCTAAAAAAAAAAAAAAAAAAAATGTTAACATTCCATTAAGAATTAATTCTAATCAAATGAATTTTTTTTTTTTTTTTAGCGTACCTGAACCGACGGGATGTATACGACCGCATGCAGCTCCCAAGTTTCTATTTTTCTTCATTAAATCTACAAGCAATTGCACGGCTTGAGGTTGAAAATCAATATCACCATCAAGAGTAAGAAGGTAAGTGTTATCAGCCATAACTTCTTTTCGATCGACAGAAATAGGAAGTTCCATTAATCTATGACCCAGTAGATAGTACATGTACATGACTTGACTCCAACGTTTCCTATGTCTTATTTTCGATTTATCCTTTAAGTGAGCATACATTTTAGTTTTTCCTGGCAAAGTCCAGACGAGACGTCCACCGTATGGAGTAGGATATTTTTTAGGTGGTTTAATTCTAATATTGTTCGTTTGATGAACGGCTTGAGCAGCTTCGTCCATCGTTGCAACTAACAATTTAACGAAACGATTAACGATAACGTTTTCAGTTTGTTCATCTTCTATTTCGAATGCATCGTCAAAGAAAATATGAGCTGGAATAACAAAATAATAATAATAATAATAATAATTTATCCGTTTTTTTGTAAAAGTAAAAGACGAAAAAAAAAAAAAGAAATATTACTTTCGAATTCGTAATAATTCTGATCGACTACTCTAAGGTATTTTTGAGCAACTCTTCTTGCACATTGATCTTCATCTAATCGCAAAATCGATTTCAACATTTCCATCATTTCTTCTTTTGTTTCGTGCCACATGGTAGCACAAGCAAATATTCTTGTGATATGGTCAGATGATTTAACATTTGATTTTGGAGCCGTGGAACTCCCGTCAGTTTGAACCGATATCGTTTCGTAATGTTCATCACCTTTTTCTAATTCGGCCAACTCCTACAATTAATAACGACGTACAATCACTTTAGAATTACGTAACGAATTTTTACATTTCAAAATGTATTTAATGTAAATATTGCATTAAAATAAATAATTATAATTAAAAGAAAGTTTTGGATAGAAAAAAAAGACAGAGAGAGAGAGAGAAACAAATTAAAATTAAAACAGACTTTAAAAAAAAAAAAAAGATTTTTAAAATAACAGAAAGCAGATTTTTTTACCCACACACACGCACACGCACACGCATGCATACATAAATAATTTTTATGCTAGTGTCAAGTCATTGATCATAAAAAAACGTTATATGACTAATTTAAACGTCCATTTTTTTTTTTTTTTTTTTTAAATATCATTTACTTATAAAATCTAATAATCTATCGTGACATTGCAAAATTCAATTTTTTTTTTTAAACAGTTGGAAAAATTGACCTTTTGTATATTTCACACTGACCTCTGTTTTAACATCCGCTTCGTCATCTCTTCTTCTATTTAATCCTAAAGATTGATCGATCAAGAGAGAGGAATACATGGGAGTGACGAAAAGTTTTTCCGTTGTGGCCAATCTTTCGCATTTTGGAGTCCAAATGTGAAGAGTTATCCATGTTTGTGACAGTAGCCATAATATCCAAATCCAACCGTGCTGAAAAAATCAATCGAAACGAAAAATCAATAATAATAATTAAAAAACCCCCCCAAAAAAAAAAAAAAAAAAATTGAATTTTTTAATTAACCTGTTTGAAAATAAATTCGTCCAAATAGAAAACGTTTGGAGATTCGAAAAATAAATAATCGGGTAAAAATCCCTGATAAAAACAAGGATCTTCGTTTCTTAATCCGCAAGCGGCAATTAGTAAAGAAATTGCAATAGGTATGGTTAAATTAACTGGAAAAGCGTAACTGAATCCTTGAATTAATATTTTACATGCAAATTTTCCTGTTGAAATTTCAAAAAAAAAAAAAAATTTTTATTACGTAATATTTTTTATTAAAAAAAAAAAACGAATTCGAGTGTAAATTTTTTGTGTTCCTCCTTACCGAATACATAACATAAATAACCGGCTTGAACGTGTATTAATAATATATAAATGGCAGCATGATAAGATGCATCAATATCGACGGTATCACCTGTCAATGTGAGATCTTGTAGATCCGGTAATGTACCACTTTGAATTTTAACCTGTTAATTAAATTAGAAAGTAAAAAAAAAAAAAAAACAACCAAATTCTTCATTAAAAAAAATAAAATAAAATTTTTTTATTTACCTCCGAAACCATAATTTTATGCGGTTGTAAAGACGGTATTAATAATTTAAAAAAATTACTGACGTTTTCACCCTTCATAAATATTAACAATACGGTCGAACCGAAAAAAAATAATATTTTCCATACTGAAATAACTGCATATGTTGAATAACGAGCTTTTTTAACCAATTCTTCTTTTATCGATCCTAAATATTTCATAAAACCTTAAAAAAAAAAAAAAAAAAAGGGGGCAAACGTTAAAAATCTCTGTCGAAAGTAATAATAATAATAATAATGACAGTAATGTTTATTCGTGATATAACGTTTATATTTAACACCTACGTTTTTAAAACAAATAAAAAGGGCGGAGAGGTAGGTAAGAAAATGTGGTACAAAAAAAAAATAAATTTTACTTTTTTTTTATTTATTACGTAATAATCATAACAATAATGATAATTTAATGTAAAAGTAATTTGTCATGAGTGATTTTTTTTTCTTAAAGTTCTAATTAATAATAATTTTTTTTTTTTTGATTTTGTATTTAATTTACACTTTTTGACGTTTAAAAAAAATTTTCGAAAGTTGTTTGACTACAATTCTCATAGGAAAATAAAGAAAGTAAAACAAAAAAAGACGGTTTGAATAAATATTAATAATAATAATAATTAAATAAAGCATTTTATTGAGCGTGTCACTCACTAACAAACGTTACAATTTTGTTCGTGTTTGTTTCTTTTTTTTTTTTTTGTTTGTTTGCAATTTCAATTACGTCATTACGTAACTGAATCATTTAAAAAAATTTTAAATCCGGTTTTTATTTTGTTTAAAACTTAAATTACGTTAAAAATAATTTTTTTTTTTATTTAGAGAGTTTAAAAAGGTTAAATAAGTAATTAAAATAGTGAGAATCGTGTCAAAGACAAATAACCTCGACTATATGTGAAAAAAAAAAAAAAAGTTTTTTTTAAAATTTTTCTTTATTGCACACCCTGAATTTATACAACGTTAAATGTCAAATTAAAATTTTTTATACACATAAAGTGTTGTTTGCTGACTCATTACGTAAATTTTTTAATTATTAAATTTTTAATAATAATAATAATGAGGATAACAATAAAAAAAAGGGTCGTTACGAAACGGTTATTAAATTGTCTTGAATCAAAAAAAAAAAAAAACCTTTTTGTTATGAATTCATCATTTTAACTTACCTATTCTCGATTGTTTTGTGGTGTAATTTTCCCACCATCCGCACGATATCAAAGTTATCGAAATGGGTATCACCCAAATTTTTGGCCTTTTACCACCGTCTAATAAAGGCCAAACAATCAAACCTGTTGCTTGTGCGACAATTGCAAGAAAATCAACGATTGATTTGACAAATTTTTTTGGTTCTTTGTTATTACGAGATAAAATACCTGGAAAAAAAAAAATTTTTTTTATTTTTTTTTCCCCCTTATCCCCTCCCCGTCCTCCTCCTCTTATAAGTGCTAATCTACCGCATGAAAAAAAAAAAAAAAAAACTTTTCGTAGGTCAAAAGTTTTTAAAGTTTGAATTTACGTGTTTACCCTGTTACCTTGATCTTAGGAAAATGCCGTCATTACAAAATTTACAACGTAACAGTAAATTTTTTTTCGTCTTAATAAATCTTTTATGTTTTTTTTTGTTTGCAAAATTAAAAAAAAATTTTTTTTTTTTTTTTTTTTTTAGCGAATATTGGGAAATCGTTATTCCGTTAATGATAATTCAAAAATAACAATGATCGTTTTTTAATGAACGTTAAAAAAAAAAAAAAATTATTTTAATGATAAAAATTACCTAAAACACCGGGTACTAAACAAACGCAATTTGTCAACATGGCACCCCTTACGACGTCTATTTCCGGAAGTACCACAAAGACTAGGAGAGCCATTCCGAACGTGTGTAATGATTCCATGAGTCCGACGAAAAGCAATGTTGAAAATCTAGGTTTGACGGATGATTTAAAAAAGCATATCCTCAAGGATCGAATTAGGGTACCTAATTCAGGTATTGTAAATGCTACGACTAGAGCCCACATCCATGCCGTTCTTTCAACCTCTGGAAGGCTTACGACAAACTGCATATCTCGTCCTGTTAACAAATCAAATTATTTTTTTATGTTGAACAAAATGTCGACGATTGTTAAAAATCAAAATTATTAAAAAGTTTTAAAAAAAAAAAAAAAAAATTATTCTTGACATTTAAAAGGAAAAGGACGCGGAGTAATGAAAAATAAATTGATTAATTGCATAATAATAATAATAATAATCGGAATAAAAAAAAGGTATACGTATATATAAGAGCACATTGAAAAAAAAAAAAAAAAAATCAAATGTAATAACGTTCGGACACGAAATAAGTTAAAGAAAATAATAATAATTACTAAAGGAAGAAAGAGAGAGGAAACGTCAAGGTTGAAGGAATATGGCAACTTTAAAGTTTCACATACTTTCACCGAATTAATTTTTTTTTTCTTTACTTTTTGGGCCGTTAATTTTTTTTTTTACAGTCCACATGGATTTGTTGTTGTTACATGATGACGTCACAAAGAGATTTAGGACATGAACAAACGACTCACCTAATTTTTTATTACAATACGGTATAACTCTATCCTCTCGCAATTGAGAGGTCATGAGTAAAAAGGTTCCTTTTGCCACGACACCCGATACCAATACGATTATGAACGTGAACAAATACGCGATGACTTTTAAAACTTGCATCGTCATGTCCAGGCATCTTTGATTGGCCATGGAACCGCTGTCGATTTTTGGTGGAGGATTCCTGAAAACGTCCCATCCTCTCGTACTTTCCGACGATACTTTTTGACTGGAAAAAATATTTTTTTTAAAAAATAGTATTATTATTATTGAAGGTAGATATCGATCGTGATTTATCCGAGGAAAATTCCAGAAAAAATTTAAAAAGTGATTTTTTAACTTCACGATTGTTGTTGTTGTTGTTGTTTGTATTGAAGGAAAACAAAATTTCGAAATCATAAATCGTGTTCCGAAAAATTCCCGTTCCAAAATTTCCCTTTCGGTATCATTAAGTAAAAAAAAATTTTTTTAAAATAATTTCTCAAGGTTTTTTTTTTTTTTTATTCGATACCTTAATGGGCGTGCCCCCCTTTTTATTTTTACAAACCTTACACGATTCGATAGTTTTCATTTTATATAACGTTAAAAAAAATTTAATTTCGTCGGTCGTAAACATTTTTCACGGTAATAAAAAAAAAGAAAAGAGAAAGTAAGTAAAAGCAACAATAATCTAAATAAATCCAAAACCGGAAGTTCCAAAAAAAAAGGAAAATTTTTTTCGAAATCGAATAATCAATGAACCTTTTCGAAATTTTCCATCCAGTGAAAACAAAACAAAACAAACTGGAAAACAATGGTAAAATTGTATCTTTCTTTGAAATCCTCGTTTGTTGTGGGAGTAAATCCAAGGTTATCCTTTTTATTTCCTTCTATATCACGATTCTTTCTTTTGAATGTTGAAAATTATTATTATTATTATTGCACCACCATTATTATTTTCTCTCCAGTCAACAACAACAAAAAAAAAAATTTTTTTTTGTTGTTTCCATTGAATAAAAAAAAAAAAAAAAAATATTTGACATTATGTATGTATCTTTTTAAATCTGCGTCCTTCCTCGCTATAAAAATTTTTTTTTTTGGAGAGAAAAGATAATAATAATAATTCAAAACTAAATAATAATAATAATATTGTTTTATATAAAAAATTCAGGGTAATATTACCCAATAACTCGTCTGACATTTTAATTTCTAATTTAATATAAAAAACGGTGAAAACGAAAATTTTCTTTTTTTTTTTTTTTTAAACAAACTGGAAATCTTACTGGAGACATTTCTTTTCTCCCCCTCCCTTTTTAAAATTGTTTGAAATTTCGTCGTCGTCATCATCGCGACCTTCGAAAAATATTTAAAAAAATGAATAATGTTATTTGAAGGTTTTGTTATCCTTTCCTTCTGAGGCTCTACATCGACCTTGGTAACACAGTAAAAAAATTCCGTTATTAAGACAAAAAAAAAAAAAACATTCTCCAAAGATTTGTTTTTAACAACCTTTGGTCAGTTTTATTACTCCATTATTAAGACGAGTTTGTTATTCTATAATAATAAAAAAAAAAAAGGTTTCGATCGATGATGGGTTTATTATAATCTTTCTTCTGGAAGCAAGTTTTTTTTTATCCTTAGAAAAAAAAGGCAAGGACAAATTAACCACGAATAAAACAAAAAAAAAGCTCAAATTAAAAAGTTTTGGAATTGACTCACGTAGTTTTAATATAAAAGACAAAGGAAAGCTTTTTCTTTCTGACGGTTTCTGGTTTTTTATCCTTGCGGACTTTGAACTTATCGAGTAGTTAGAGTTTAGTGTAGGAGAACAAGAACTTTTTAAAAACCTGCAGGTTTCAGGTATTAATTAATAAAAAAAAACCTTACCTTCCACCGTAAATTTCTTGATTTAGCGGCGTAGCTTCATCTTCGTCGGTGAAATCATCTTCTGATGGTACACGACGCCCCTGATTTTGGGGCGGTGCCATCCTACAAAAAAGAAAATTTCGCATTACAACAAATTAATTTTTCATTTTTTTTTTCGATAACAAAACAGGGCGCGGTTTTTAAATATTTTTTAAACTTTTTTGGTTTTGCTTTTTTTTCTTTTTCTTTCTTGTTCGGTTTCAAGGTTTTTCTTTTTCTTTTTTTTTTTTCAATACTTTCTCACCGGATCGAATAAAAATAATAATAATAATAATAATAGCACATAAAGTATAAAATGTGACCAGTTATGAATATTTTTTTATAAATTATTTATATTTAGGTGTTATTTGACGTGAGTTACGTGTGACCTTTGACATTATTACTCGTTTACGTCTCGACTAAAAAAAAAATAAATAAATTTCTCTTTTTTTTTTTTTTTTTTTTTAAATAATTAATAACTAGAAATGAGTAATAATTTGGTAACATTTTTTTTTTTTTTTTTTTTTTTTTAAATTCTAGCATCATTTAAATCCTTATGGTTGTTGTTGTTTATAAATTTCAAACGGTTACAAAATTCATAATGATGATAATAATAATAATAATAAAATGATCTTTGAGAAAAAAAAATTTTTAAAATAAAAAAATTTTCACGGAGTCTTGCGACATTTTCTTTTTTTTTTTTTTTTTTATTATTATTAAAAAAAAATTGACTAATGTGAAAAAATTTTATGTTTTCCTAATTACGTAATTAATTTTCATAAAAAATATTATTATTATTATTATTTTTTTTTTTTATTAAATTTTAGTTAATTCTTCTCTTAATCCCTCCCTCCCTTTCTCGACCCCAAAAAAAAAAAAATTCAATAATCTTTCCTTATTTTTATTCAAGTACTAAAAATTTTTATGAAACATTATTATTATTATTACTATTATTATTATTATTACCGTATTAATTTTTTTTTAGTTAAAAACTCATCATGGGTATGTTTTAGTAAAGTTTAAAACTAAAACCAATAAAAATTTTAGTGGAATTAATGGGAGAAAAAAAACCGGGGGAAGTATTGGTCAATAGTTTTCAGTTTATAAAACGATTTTAAAGGTGTAAAAAAAATGGGTGCGTACATACCCGTTAAACTCATTTTTAGAACCTTGAATTTTATTAATAATAATAATAATAATAATAATAATAAAATGATTAAGGGCGTGGACTTGCACGGTTATCTAATTAAAACGCAATTGAATGTTTTTTTTTTTTTTTCCATTTTCTACTCTCGAAATAGAAAAACCTTAAGAGCGAATAATAAATTAAAAGGTAACAATAATAGTAATAATAATAATTTTTCGTATTGTTTTTAACAGATTGATAATAATAATAATAATAATGTTACTTTCTTTGTTGATTATTCCGGTCGATTTCAATAAAAAACGATTAACAGACGCGATTTATTAATGTTTTATCGATTAATATTTTTTTATAATGCATAATCATTAATTAAATTCTTAAAAGGCAAAATGAAAAAAAAAAAAAAAAAAAATTTTCTTCTTTAATAAGTAATAGATTCATTAATTAATAAATTACGTAATTTTTTTTTTTAAATATAATATATTTTAAAGTAAGAGTTATTACGAAAGGGATTTTTTTTTATAACGGATACTCTTATCCGAACGGATTACTCTTTAATTAATTAATAAAAAAAAGTGAATTAAGAGTTTTATTTCGATTGAATAAACATAAAATTTTTTTTTGGGGGAATTATTTAATAGAATCGAGTATATTAAAAAAAAATTGTCTATTTACACGTCTATTTTCTTAAAAAAAAAAAAAAAAAACATTTTTGCGGTTACGTGAAAGGAATAAATAAATTTTTTTTTCTTTATAACTTTCAATAAACCTTGATCGATTTGAAATCGCGAACGGATTTTTTTTTTTTTATTTATAAATTTTGCTTATAAAAAAAAATATGTCTACCTAAATGCTCTCTCTCTCTCTCTTTAACACGTTTACAAAGACGCATTGAATCGAGGGGGTTAATTTTAAAGAGTTTTTTGCACCTTAATATGTCCTTGCAATTTATTTTATGTGTTGTAAAAAAAAAAAAAAAAAATTTTTTTATAATGACTGAGACTCTGACTCTCGTAATAAAAATCTAGTTTTTAAAATTAAATAAGTTGGTTTTCCATTGCCGCGCGTTTTTTTTTTCTTTCATCTCCTTTTTTAAACATTTAAGAAGGTGATCAAGTGTTTCATCTTAAATCGATTATATATATCTTCTGTTGAGTTTTGTGAAAATAAGAAAATTTTTTTTTTTCGTACGTGTCATTTATTACGTTATCTTTACGTAGATTAATAATTTGGCAATGAGATTTTTACAGAGGTACATAGTGGTACATAAAAGTGGTTTAAATAGGCTTATTAACCCCCTAAAAAAAAAAAGTCAAGGGAAAATATATATATTTGATCATAATGAATTGTGATTGTCGGACTCGAAACATTTAAAAAAAAAATTACAATTTTTTTTTTCTAAGGCATATTATTAAATAGGTAAAAACTATTCTTCGTAACAGAAACGGATTTCTCACAAAAAAAAATAAGAAAAAATTTCGACCTAAATGCCAAGGTCTAATTATCCAACTCCCTTCCTTATCCATACGAATCACAATACTTATTATTATTATTATTATTATTATTATTATTATTATTTTTATTATTATAAATTTCTTGACACTACGAATTAATTTAAAATTAAAAATTTTATTCATTTTTTCGTTTACGCATCTCAAAAATTTCAATTTTTCAAAATTACGTTTGTTTAAAAAAAATATCGATCGATCGATCGATCGATGGATCGATCAAAAAAAAAAAAAATAATAATAATAATATAGTCTAGTCAAAATAATTTTTTCGTCTACAACCTTGTAAATTTATGTCTGTGAATTGTAGCCGACTAATTAAATCGTGTTAGCGAAACATTTGTTAGGTACCCAAGATACCCGAGGGTGAATATAAATGCGACACAAGTTTTTATTTGTAATTTAGAACATGTTTCAAGTTCGTATTTTTATACTTATATATATTTTTTTTCAAACAAAAACCTGAAAACCTTAAATTAATAATAATAATAATAATAATAATGACAATTTAAATGATAGATGCATTCATTTTATAAAAATAATATTTTTTTTAAAAAGAGGTTTTTACGTTTATATAATTAATCAATTGATTGATTATTGGATTAATTATTAATAATTTATAAAAAAACGTGAACGAAACGCTTTAATAATAATAATGATGATGATTACGTAATATTTTTTTTTTTTTATTAAATAATTGGTTGTTTTTGAAAATGGTCGGAATGGTCGTCGTGATTGAAATCTAACCGCGGTAATAATGAATAGAAAAAAAAAAACTCAGACAAATCAATAAACGAAATAAGTACCCGGAAATAATTTTTATTATTATTATTATACGTTAAATTATTAAAACGCGGCACTCTTTTTACCGAAATTAAATTTAAATTTTATAGAATGATGAAAAAATTGTTTGTTTGTACGTGAGCAAACGTTGAGCGGTCGGTTGTTACTTAAGTTAAGCAAAGAAAATAAAATAAATTGTTTTAATTTTTTAATAAATAAATAAATAAATTTCGATTTGATATAAAAAAAAATGAATTGATTTCTATTAGTCAAAAGTAATGAACGACGTTCATGACCAAAAACGATTTTAATAAATATTAGATTGTTGTTGTTGTTGTTTTACTTAAACTTTTTTTTACCTTCGATATTGAAAGAAAAAAAAAAATAAAATATTTATCAACGTGGGTTTTTAGGTCGATATCGATCAAGGTTTACAACTTAAAAAAAAAAAAAAGTTGTTTAAAATTATTTATCCCTCTCTTGAAAATTTATTTGACAAATCCAACAGGAATTAAATTATTATTATTACTACTTTACGTCATTTACGTTAAAAAATTCTTTAAAGGATTTAAGGTTTTGTTGGGTAGGATAAAAAATACTACAAGGACGAGGAATTTTTTTTTTTTTTTTTCATTGCACTTCGATCATTCGAAACAAACAAAACAAAAACCACATTATTATGTCTCGAAACATTTTTAACCGCTAAAAATAAAACTAAAAAAAATTTGGGTTTGTTAACAAAAAAATATTATGCAACAACCTAAGGTATTAAAAAATGGTACAGATCGAATCAAATCCTATTGGAAATTAAAAAAAGTCGCATTCATAAAAACAATAATTAAAATTTTTAAAAATGAAATTTTCATCTTTTTTTCTCTAATATAAACTCGATAAAAATTATTTATTATTATTATTAATTAAAATAAAGTTAAAATTCGATTGATTATAGTAGTAGTAGTTAAAAAGTAGAACATATCTAAGTTTTTATCCTCCAGCTATATAAACTATAACTATAAAAATCAAAATGTAAATTATACGATATACGATTCGATTTCATAACATTTCATATCGATTTTTTTTTTCGTAAGATTGACAACGTCTGACACTTTTTTACACGTCAATGAACACGTGGATTCAGTTTAAATCTCATAACACGTATAAAAAATAATAATAATAATAAATTTAAAGAATTAAACGGAAGTTTTTTTTTTTTTTTTCTAATTTTAAAAAACCGTTTAAATTTAGGAAGAAGAATAATGATTCTCTTACACTGACTTTCAATATTTAAATGAAAGCAAAAATTATAAAAAAAAGAGAAAGGAATAATTTATCTAAAGAAAAAAAAAAAACGTGTGATAATAATAATAATAATAATAATAATAATAAAGGAAGAACAATAATTAATAGCTACTTTAAAAAAAAAATATAAATAAATGCGGATGCAGACGACGACGACGTGAAAAAAAATTTTTTTTGGTTTTCTAACAAACAGTCAGTTTGTTCTGACAGGTAGCATACAAAAAAAAACTTTATAAAAATGTTACAAACAATGAAACGTGTAATTTAAAAAAAAAAAAAATTATACGAAGTAAAAAAATAATAAATATTATTTCAAATTATCACCATGTTATGGTAGAAGTGGTTAACG